AATATTTTGAATATAAATGTCATATATTTTGCACAAAAGATAACATAGTTACCTAGAGAAAATTTTTTATCTAAAATTTGTATGTTTAATGCAAAATATATGATGTTTATATTCAAAATGATCACCAAATTATAAGAATTCCAGCAATGTAAATTATATTCTGACCGGGTAATTTGTATGAATTTTATGAGCTAAAACAAATATCTTCAGTTAATAAAAAAAAAAATAATCTTCACGACACTATCTGTCAATCAAAGTACCCCACCTTGCCTCCCCCCCTCTTCCAACCGCGCGGTCAGTCCCAACCCTCCCCCCCACCCCCCACCAATCCTCCCTTCCAGAGTTTTTAACATTTAGTATTAAATAATACCTCAGATTAAAGTTAGGATAATATAATTGACATTGCTGGATTCCTTGTAAGACCAGGAATATTTTGAATATAAATGTCATATATTTTGCACAAAAGATAACATAGTTAATTTGAGAAAAATTTTTATCTAAAATTTGTATGTCTAATGCAAAAATATGATGTTTATATTCAAAATGATCATCAAATTATAAGAATTCCAGCAATGTAAATTATATTCAGACCGGATAATTTGTATGAATTTTATGAGCTAAAACAAATATCTTCAGTTAATAAAAAAAAAAATAATTCTTCACAGGGTAACAGATGGTCGGTCGGTCCCTCCCTTCCCCCACCCCCCACCAACCGTCCCAAGGAGATGTGTGGGATAACCACTAAATTTTAATAAATAATACCTCAAACTAAAGTTAGGATAATATAATTGACATTGCTGGATTCCTTGTAAGACCAGGAATATTTTGAATATACATGTCATATATTTTGCACAAAAGATAACATAGTTACTCTGAGAAAATTTTTTATCTAAAATTTGTATGTCTAATGCAAAATATATGATGTTTATATTCAAAATGATCACCAAATTATAAGAATTCCAGCAATGTAAATTATATTCTGGCCGGGTAATTTGTATGAATTTTATGAGCTAAAACAGGCAGTCAGGCAGGGTGGCGGGTGGGGCAAATCTAAAAATAGCGTCTCCAGCCGGACACTCACCGCATATATGTGGAAAAAATCCGTGTTAAGAGAAAGTTCAGCTCTGGCGAGGCACCGCGTATATGATAAAACGCGTTAAGTGAAACCGCGTTAGGCGGGGTAATACTGTGTGTGTATATATATATATATATATATATATATATATATATATATATATATATATATATATATATATATATATATATATATATATATATATATATATATGCAAGAATCACTGTAGGTGCGCTGGTGGATCTAGGTATACGTTTGCGCTGCACCATTACTCACCCTGAAGATGTGAATTACACGAAAGCGCTTTGGGAATCCTGTGTTTTCTTTCCTTGTGGTTATCACATATATATATATATATATATATATATATATATATATATATATATATATATATATTATTATATATATATATATATATATATATATATATATATATATATATATATATATATATATATATATATATATACATATATATACAGCCAGATTCCTGACTTCATTTAATTGCTCTCGATTTCATTTATTGTCGGACTTCATTTACTAGTCGGGACTTACGACTGCCTCAGATTTTTTATTAATTATATTTTTTTTTTTTCTTCAAATGACACGCATATTCTATACTGAAACGTTTCCAGTTAATGTAGCCTCCATGTATAATTAGAAAATTATGGGGACCCCATGTGCATTCAGCTGACTACATTAAAGGTAAATGCTCAGTCACACTGTAACCATTCCTTATTATTTATTACTTTCACTGTACTGTATCCATTCCTCATTATTCATTACTTTTACTGTACTGTATTTCATTGTAGATTATTTATTTAAAAAAAATTATCTATGTCGGACTTACGGCCATGTCGAACTTACGACCTGGATTTGGGTCCCTAACCCCGTCGTAAGTCGGGGTCTATCTGTATATATATATATATATATATATATATATATATATATATATATATATATATATATATATATATATATATATATATATATATATATATATATATATATATACACACACACACACACATAGTATTACCCAGCTTTACGCGGTTTCACTTACCGCGATTTCTCATTTACCATTTACGCGGTACCTCGCCAGAATTGGACTTTCACTTTCCGCGGTGCATCTACTCATATACGCGGTGAAGTATAATTTTAAATTTAGCTCATAAAATTCATACAAATTACTCGGCCAGAATATAATTTACATTGCTGGAATTCTTACAATATGATGATCATTTTGAATATAAACATCATGGATTTTGCATTAGACATACAAATTTTAGATCTAATGTAATAATTTGGTTTACACAGAGCAAATATTTTATCTTTTGTGCAAAATATATGAAGTTTACATTCAAAATATTCCCTGACCTGCAAGGAATCCAGAAATGTCAATTTTATTATTCTAACTTTAGTCTGAGGTATTATTTATTCCTAAATGTTAAAATCTAGTGTTTTCACCCAAACATTTCTCAAAGAGATAGGAGCCAGTGAGCTGGGAAGAGGGGGGAGTTGAGTCCATTATTTGAATGGACATTAACCTGGCGACTGTATTTCTCTTAAATATTAAATGTGTGTGCATACCATCATAAAATGAAGATGTTATTTTTACTACAACATAGGTATTGTGTCGGAAAAAGTGGAGTTTGGGGGTCGGGCCAGTCTCTATTGAAATTAATCCCATATGTTCTGTTGTTTACTTTACGCGGTTTTCACTTTCCACGGTACCCTGTGGGTTCATTTGACCGCGTAAATCGGGGTAGTTACTGTATAATAATTCACAATATTTTATAATCGCAGTCATGTACTGAATATTCCATGTAAAAAAATAATTTTAAATGAATTATTTATAGTGCATTACGGTACTGGTAACTTCAGACACAAAGATGGGCTATAAATAGCCTTCTTATCTCCCCTCCATCTCTCACCCTCTGCCAGAGGGAAGGGTCTTGGTAAATAACTTTTGTTTGCTTATTTTCCATTTACCGAATTATTTGTTTATTCATTTATAATATACTGTAATATATTAAACACACTGCAAGTATTTTCTTTAATTTATAAACTTGTTTCGCGACAAAGGGAGGCTTCCATTATACCTGGTAGGTGAAGTTGACCTGATACATTTATGGTGTCATTAAGGATCAAACTCCGAATCCGATGACCTGACTTCGTCTTCATCATTGTCATCCTAAATATACCACTGTCGGTAGTTTCAAGAATTAACGCAGTCATTTACTGAATATTCTTTGTAAAAAAATAAATTTTAAATGAATTATTTATAGGAGATAAGTATTATGATCAGTAAATATACCAATATGCATTACTGACCACCTCGAACACATAGACGGCTAAAAATAGCCCAATCTCGCGGTCACTTTCCCTTTCTTGTCTCATCACTGGCAAATGGAGGGGCGTGGGGGCAGGGGGGAGAGTGCGTGATGATAGCTGTGTTTATTACCGGGGTATATTGTTCTTTTACGGTATGTTAGACAGGTTTATGATACATTTTTATTATTTTAATACAGTGAACCCTAACTTTACGCGGTTAATTCAACCCACAGGGTACCGCGGAAAGTGAGAAACGCGTAAAGTGAACAACATAACATATGGGATTAATTGAAATGAGCCCGGGCCGACCCCCAAACTCCACTTTTTCAGACGCAATACCTACGTTGTAGTAAAAATAAATTCTTAATTTTATGATGGTATGCACACACAATTAATAATTAAGAGAAATATCAATAATATTAGGTTTTTTAACACTTACATTAGTAGAAAAGATGGCTGGGCACACAGGGATGGGGGGTTGGTTCCAAGGCAGAGGGCAGATTATTGGCCCTCACCTGTATCACTTGTATCAATTGTATCACTATCCACCACAGAGGCTTGCAGGGCCTCTTTGTCAAACCCCTCAAAGTCCATATCCTCACTATAATTATCACTATCACTGACTTGGGCCGGCTGTGGTGGGTGGCAGGTGAAGAACTCGGTAATGTTTTGATCACTGGGCGACCTTGTGCGCACCCTGCTCGAGCCGCTTACACAACATGGCGGATGGCGGGAGAGGGCAGGAGAGATGGCGGGAGGTTTGGATCCAAAAATGGCGCGGCTAGCCAGCCGCTCTCCGCGTAAAGGGGTACATGCACCGCGGAAGGTGAGCATTCCGGTTTCGGCAGGGTACCGCGTAAACGTGGAAACGCGGAATGTGGGCGCGTAAACGTGGAAACGCGGAATGTGGGACCGCGTAAAGCGAGGGTTGACTGTATACCGGTAATTTTATTTTTAATCCAGCTTCCCAAACGTAAGTTTCAGTATAAAATAATTAGTGGTAGGACCTTGTGCGTGGTTTACGATGTTTTCCATCACCACTCTTGACACGCGAAAACCACAATATTTAAGAGGTAAGAATTTTAGACCCGGTGCTTAAGACGACCCCTAATTTTGGGCTGATTTTTTTAAGGTTCAAATTCCGTCTTATAGGCCGAAATACATGGTAGGGATATCCTATGCTCCATGTTCTTGAATTTGGCCCAGAGAATGGACCAGTTTCCTGGGTCTTATGTCATCCATCTGTAACAAAAGGCCTACCAGTAGACAGGGTCTCCTCTCTTTCAGGAGAAATACTGTTTCTTCCATAATTTCACCTGAGCTCACTCCAATACAAATAATTTTAAAACAGCATGCTCATGGTCTTTCCTGTTCTAGTCAATCTAGAAAATTCAGTAATGTTTACAGACTAATGAAGTACAATTAATATAAGAACTTACCAAGAAAAACATGTGTATCAAACTCCATCAAAATCAAATTTATATTAGACAGTTTCACTCATTTCATATTGAAACACAGGCACAAATTCAGTGTACAGTATTAAGTATTAGGATGAACATTTGTTGAGCATAATTTGGTAGAAAAAACTTACTTGAATGGTAATTTTCCCAAAAGCTTCTGGCCAAAGAAGACCATCCGTGCCACCCAAAAGAAGAGAATATCGTGGCCAGTCTCCAAAAGAGTATTTGGATAAAACAATTCCATATCCTTTGTCTGAAAGATTGAGACAATACAACTTTATTATTATTTATTTTCTTTACATTTAGACAGTTACAACATTCTTTACTGTAATTTTTTGCCCTTCACTTCTTTCTGTCAGTAATAACTGAGAAGGTCTGACTCAGCATTCAAATTACACAATGACAGTGGTGAATTCATCCTTGAAAGTTCCAAAAGAACTCCAAACAAAACTGTGGGAGAACATTTTTGGGGGAAAAATCAGGGAAAAGGTGCCTCCATTATACAATTAAATGACTTACCACTCATACAAGCTCGCCCCAGCTAGATTTAGGGCAGCTAACAATGTTTATTGAGGGCAAACTTTTTCAGAGTGAGAACTGTCAATTCTTGTGACATTCTGCCAGAAAGTGTTGTGATGACACAAAATGTGAGCTCCTTCAAGAACAGACTTGCAAAGATGGAAATACATTCTGGAGCCAGTACTAGCCAACAGTGCGTACCAGAGATGTGACGAACAACCCAAGTTGCCAACGAACTGATCAGTGACAGAGAGGATAAAAGTATAGTCGTAAACCAAACAACACACTCAGCTTAAGTACCATATTTTACGGCATGTAAGACACATGGCCATATAAGATGCACCCCCCTTTTAGCAGGAAGTATTAAGGAAAAACTTTTGTGTGGATTTTCCTCCTGTATCTATGGTTTTCTTAAAATAATAAAGTGATATCAGCCTGAACAATTGGTGCAGAGCACTCCCAGGGATGAGAGATTTCCGGCTAACCAGGGAACTTTCTCAAACACTAACCCACATCCTCACAATGTTTCTTGTGGTGGGGAGTCTTCCAAGAGTTTAAACTGAAAATCTATATGATCTGGTTGTGAATGAAGCTGTGCGTTACAGCAAAGACTGGTATTTTCCACTCCCTTGGAGCTATGGGGGAATTAGTGGGTCTCATGTAACAGACCTGACCTGACACAATGTCAGGTGGAGGTAGGGTGGGGTATTAGTGGCCTCATATTACTGACCTCATATGACTGATACAATGTCAGGTCACCCACTGGTGGGTGGGGGATTAGTAGGTCTCAGGACCTAAAGATGTCTTGAATAAACATGAAGGCTAAAATACAGTATTTTTTATACTTACACTTACACATTGTATCCCTTCAACATTAAGTTACATTAGATTTTAAAATGTGGAGTGAGAAAGCAGATAGATGTGGGTGATTAGAGAGATGGAGTGGAAAGGAGTGGTAACATGCACCAGTGTTGCGAAGCACTAACCTCCTCAACAGCCGATCTTTAATTCTCAACCATTCAGTTAACCACACATAAATTTATGTCCTGCAATATAGGGGTGTGTGGGTGGTGTTAGGGTGTCTGGGTGTAATGTTGTGGTATAAATTAATAAATAAGCAATATTGTATCATCAATGACAGTTGTTTGATGAATAGCAGTGTACGTTACTAAAATTGTCACTACTATTCATCAAACTACTGTGAATCGTCTTATTGCGAATCATTAATTACCATTAAAATAAAGCAATAATACTGAAATGCGTTCCCAAGTGTGACCTTTTCATATCTTTTGTGTGGCTTTTTATCCTCTTCTCCCACCAAAACAATACAATCAATGAAAATTGCAAACTATATTCTTTACATAATGTTTCTGAATGCACCTTATACAATGTAAATTAATAATAATATGGTCACACAAGAGGACATGGGATGCCATTGTTTTAGTTTGTGTTTACAGCCTGGAGTCCGGGACGATAGTTCTCTGCGAGAAAATTCAGTAAACAAGACCCTGGTTGTAGCTGTAGTAAAATTAATGAAAAAAAATGAATAAATATGGTTTAAGTAATGTAATTTAATGTTAAAAAATGGAACAATAGAAGTAGCTAACTACTAATGGCAAAGAAAAAAAAAAGAGATGGATTGGGAACGCCAACATATACGTACGTGTGCATTTAAGGATACCGCTTCATTTATCTTTTTAAGAATATGTACAAAAGATTCCTTATTGTTTATTACTGAATATGTATTTGATTGAATTATTCTTTATATATGCGAAATGAACAATGCAATACATAAATAATACGTAGGATATTAAAACACACAAGAGGATAAGAGACGGCATTGTTGTCAGTGTTTACACCCATAATGTCAGTTATCCACCTGAAACTGAAGAAAATAAGACCCTGGTTGTTGTTGGAGTAAAATTAATGTAAAAAATATGTATGTTTTAATTAGTGTTATTTAATGTACAGCAGAAGTAACCACTGATATAAAAAAAAAGTGAGACTGATTGTGGAAAGCCACTGTATACAGTACATGCACACTCAAGGAAACAGTCATTTATCTTAAGAATATGTACAAAAGATTCGTTGTTGATTATTACTGAATATGTATTTGATTGAATTAATGTTTATATATGTGAAATGAACAATGCAATTCATTAATAATACGTAGAATATTAAAACACACACGAGGAGACAAGAAGGCATGGTTTTCATGAGTGACGATGGTTCTACATAAGAAACTGAAGAATATAAGACCCTGGTTGTAGCTGTAGTGAGCTTAATTTAAAACAAAAATGTTTTAAATAATGTTATTTAATGTTCATAAATTGAATACTAGAAGTTGCTAACCACTAATGGTAAAGAAATAAGGCAATTGGGAACAGTAAGTGCGTACATGTGAAAACATATCGTCATTTCTCTACATATGAACATGAAAGCCTTGCTTATTTACTGTTCATATATGTTTTAAATTATATTTACGAATGTAAAACAAAAATCTACTCACCAAAGGTGGGAAAGCCTAAAACATAAGGACAGCCAATGAATATTGTGTGAGTTTTTACCCAGATGACGAAGTCATCAGGTTCAACTCTGGCTGAAGCTGTAAGTTCAACTCTGACTGAAGCTGTAACTTTCCATAAAGCTGTTGCTGAAACTGTTACCGAACCTGAAGTTGATGTTGAAACTGCTTATGCTGCTGAATTTGACGGTGTAGCTGAAGTTAATGATTTAGGCCTTCGAATAATAAAGCTGTTGAAAGAACCTTGCACAGCTGCTTTCTTTTCTCACTGTACAGTAGGCTCTCGCCAATAACGACTTCCACAATAACGTTTTCGACAATAACGGTAAGTTACAATAGATACCCATTTTCGATAATAACGTCTGGATTTTCTTGAATAACGGAGATTTTGCGGGAAGCGTCCGAGCGCACCAATGATAGCATTTGTTTGCCGCCATGTTGATGACGTAGTTGTCCGCTCTGCCTCACTCTCACACGCTCCGTGTAATACAGCGCTGCGCCCCATGTGAGATTTTCGTCTCTATAATCAGTGGTTGCTAGGGTCGGTGATCAATAATGGCTTCCCCATTTTTGCCTGTGGGGGTTAGGGGAGGTGGTGGAGGGAGTGATTTGCCACCTGAACGCCCGGGAACTTTTAAAGTGAATGAGAAAAAAGATCCCAAAGCTAAGAAACAAAGCCACAAGAAGCGTGCTTACTCGGTCAAGGATAAAGAACAGATTGTTGAGCTCATTGAAAGTGGTGCACGTAACATTGATATTGTGAGGAAATTGAACTGTCCTGAGTCTACAGTGTGAAATATAAAGAGGAACTTAGAGGAGACCAAGAAAGAGTATTTCGCTGGCTAAGAAATATTTCGGTAGTGATGGAAATGCGAGGCGAGCTATGAATGATAAAAGTGATAGAAACAGGTTGTTAGTGATAACAGAGCATTTTCTTGTGAAATGGTTAGCTTGTCGAATGAAAGACAGTGCAAGTCTTAGCGGCCGTCACATACGGAACAATCATCACACCAAGCACCTCAAAAACTCCCCCAAGCTGAGTGTTATATTACTCAAACTCTTTATTTTGATGATTGAAAAACAAATCTTTTTATTTCAGCTCACAAAAAGTGTTAGGAGGGCTTCTAAGGGGAAAAATTGGGTGAAATTCTTGGGGAAGCGGCACCAATAAACCCTTTTTACATGTATTTTAATGTCACACAAATAAAGTTTTTGCTAATAACGGCGTTTTTCAGGTACCTATTAAACGTTATTGGCGAGAGCCTACTGTACATCTTTATCTAGAGGTCATTTGTGTTTATTTAAATTTTATTGCTTTGTTCTGTTCATGGATCCACTTCAGAAAATATGTTCATTGCTTGCTCCATATAATATCCACAGATCTCTCACCTTTTTCATATCGGTTTAACACATCTAGTTTCTCGACTAAGCTTATACACTATCTATTAACCTTTGAACCAATGCTACTATCACTTGCTCATGTTGAATAGGGATGCAAAAATGCTGTAAGAAACCTGAGAAAGTTTTTCTCCTGTTCCTGTTCCATATGCGTGAAAACAAAAGTCCCACAAAGCTCCGACTGTTGTTTACCACTCATTAGCAAGGCAGCTTCTTTGCATAAGGCACTCTTCATTTTTTTGCAGTAATTTTTTTTTTATAATATATATCGGGATTTAGTTATTATTTATATGAAAATGTAATTTTATTTTATTTTTATTATATTTTGGTCGTAAATAAAATGAAATAAGGACGTAAATTGAATTGGGTCATAAATTAACTAGGGTTTTAAATATGAAAAGTTGTTGGGCGAACCGTTGTTATCGGAGGCTTTACTGTACAGTCTTTTCTGTGAGACACTGAGTTGGAGGGAGGCTGGGAGCAAGCAGGGGGGATACAAGGTGCAGGCAGGGAGGCAGAAGGAGGCAAGGTGCAGGCAGGGAGCAGGCAGAGGGGAGGGAAGGTGCAGGCAGCGAGCAGGCAAGGTGCAGTCAGGGAGGATTGCACTCCCCTTTTTACCAATGATCAGGCTCTTATGGAGTATATTTTATCATGGTTAACAAAATATTAAACACATTAGAAAAAATATGATGAATGATTATAAATTTGACATCAAAATTACATGACAAGCCGAATAATAAAGCAATATTTTCAACCAGGCCTCTCCACTGGGAGGAGGGTCGGTGGCAGGTAAGCTTAACCATTGCCAAATTTACCATTTTTTTATTTAATCATTACAGAAATGATACAGTATAAAAAGTATTGTGCTGTATTGTATATTAAGGGTACAGGTACAGTAGAACATCGATGTAAGTTATCAATTCACAGTGATGCCATTAGGCCTAACAATTGCGCCAGAAGTGTTTACAAAACTGGCGAACATCCCCAGGGAGATCCTTGGGAAGGAGGGCATAAGAACTTTTGCTTATCTAGACGATTGGCTGATAGTGGGAAACTCTTTCAAAGACTGTCAAAGGGCGACCCAACGTACACTAGTACTAATTCAAAACCTAGGATTAAAGATAAACCAGGTCAAATAAAATCTCCTACCATGTCAGAAATTGGATTGGTTAGGTCTCCATTAGGATACCAATCAGCAGTCAGTCAGTCTACCAGAAGCAAAGGTAACAAATGTGATAAACCAAATAGAAGCCTCTTGTGTAAAGCAAAAGGTTTCTTGGCACGATTGGGAAAAACTACTGGGTCTGTTGAATTTTGCCACCATAGTAGTTTCTTTGGGCACGTCAAGGAAGAAGCAACTAACTCATTTGGGGTCGAAGTTGCTTCACAGAAACAAAAATATTACTTCTTCTCTCCCTATTCAGATCAAGATTCATCTGTCATAGTGGACAAATTTGGACAATCTAATCGGTTCATCTCCCTGGGTTTCCCCTCAAACAGACTTGGTTGTTTGTACGGTCGCATTCAAGATAGGATTGGGATACTGTTCCTCAAAAGGAGAGTTCTGTCAAGGGAATTGGAGCAACTCCCTTT